AAAGCTACACGATGGCTATCTGCACTAGCCGTTCCAAATTTAGCAAGTTAAGACTAGATGGAAGGCAGATAGTCATCACCTCTCACCACCAACTCTTAAGCTACTCTTTTACCAACGAATAGTGGGATTGGCCGTCACATTATGATGCCCCCACGGCTGAAACGGCGAGCATGTTTGGTGGGACGGGATTCGAACCCGCAGATTGGGAGTCGAGCTTCCTAACCACCTGGCCATTTTTTTTATATAAGACCAAAATTAAAATGCTATTGATGTTATCTATGATAATCAACTTCATTTGGGATGTATTTTATTTTTCTTGATCGGTAGATTAAAGTTTGATTAAAGTTTTAAAGAAGATACACAACTCTTCCATTTTCTGAAAGTGATTTATACTCGCAAGTTCTAGTAAGTTACAGTAAAGTAATAAATGCTAAATTAGGAAATATACGAGGATGAGAAAAACAAAACTGTAATAAATTCAACAAAATATAACAAGAAAATTAGGTCAACTAAACAATTAATGCAAAACACAGATTTATTTTTGTCACTTGTGCATATATTTTACACCCATATTAACCTGACCCAATACAAAATCCTACGTGCTTTATGTTTAACAATCCAAATTGAATGTACTATACAAGAGAGTGAACATAAAGAGCTTCACGCGCTCGCAAGCACATGGTTTCTTTGCTTACCTGAGTAACCATACCGGTGCCGTGTGGCTGAAGTCTATGAAAGCTCTGTCAAGTCTGCCTGTATCTCGCTCTCCGCTTTAACCAGAGTGCGCCCGTGGCCCACTTTTCGCCCCGCTCTACTTCACCGTATTAAGCCTCAAGGCCGATAAGTGCCCCATTAGCGAGTCGCCTCGTGACATGCACAAATAGTCGACTAAACGTCGTTGATCTTTTGAGGTAGAAAGAAAGTGAAGACATTGTCGAAAAGGGTGTAACTAGATATAGTTTTCTTTATTATCAGTGAGAAAACAATAGTTACAGCTTTGAAAAACTAGAACAGCCTGAATATAAAGGGTTAGCTGTACCTGATAGGAAAGCTGTTTCAAATGCTTGAGAAAAACCAGAAAAGCCTAAGTCAAAGGGGCTAACAGTGTCTGATTGAAAAGGTGTTTCAAATGCCTGAGAAAAACCAGAACAACCTGAGTCAAAGGGGCTAACAGTGTCTGATTGAAAAGCTGTTTCAACTGCCAAGAAAATAAAGCTACCAGAGTCAAAGGAGGCTAATTGTTTTTGATAGGGAAGCAGTTTCAACTGCCAGGGAAAACAGCATAGCCTGAATGGAAAGGGTTAAATGTACTTGACTGGAAAACTGTTTGAACAGCCAGGTGTAACGAGTTTATTATTATACATTTATTTTAACATCAACATTTGTTTATATTACATTTATATAACTCTCGTCTATTTTCCAAAGTTGTAGAAG